TATGTGCATGTGCTTTCCATCTAGTCCAACATCTCTTTGTCTTGTTCGTACTTGGTGTGATGTTCCGGATGAACTTCCCTTCATATGCATGTGCCTTCCATCTAGTCAAGCATTTCTTTGTTATGTTCCTACTTGGTGTGATGTTCCGGATGATCTTCGCTTCATATGCATGTGCTTTTCCATCAGTCTAGCCACTCCTTGTCATATTCCTACTGGATGTGATGTTCCGGATGATCTTCCCTTCATATGCATGTGTCTCTCCATTAGTCTAGCCACTCCTTGTCATGTTCCTACTTGGTGTGATGTTCCGGATGATCTTCCTTGCATATGCATGTGCCTTCCATCTAGTCTAGCATCTCTTTGTCATCTTCCTACTTGGTGTGATGTTCCGGATGATCTTCCCTTCATATGCATCTGTTTTTTCATTAGTCTAGCCACTCCTTGTCATGTTCCTACTTTGTGTGATGTTCCGGATGATTTTCCCTCTATGTGCATGTGTTTTCCATCTAGTCTAACATATCTTTGTCTTGTTCCTACTTGGTGTGATGTTCCAGATGAACTTCCCTTCATTTGCATGTGCCTTCCATCTAGTCTAACATCTCTTTGTAATGTTCCTATTTGGTGTGATATTCTGGATGATCTTCCCTTCATATGCATGTGCTTTTCGATTAGTCTGGCCACTCCTTGTCATGTTCCTACTTGGTGTGATGTTCCGGATGATCTTCCCTGCATATGCATGTGCCTTCCATCTAGTCTAGCATCTCTTTGTCATTTTCGTACTTGGTGTGATGTTCCGGATGATTTTCCCTTCATATGCATCGGTTTTTTCATTAGTCTAGCCACTCCTTGTCATGTTCCTACTTTGTGTGATGTTCCGGATGATCTTCCGTCTATGTGCATGTGTTTTCCATCTAGTCTAGCATCTCTTTGTCTTGTTCCTACTTGGTGTGATGTTCTGGATGAACTTCCCTTTTTATGCATGTGCCTTCCACCTAGTCTAGCATCTCTTTGTAATGTTCCTATTTGGTGTGATATTCCGGATGATCCTCCTTTCATATGCATGTGTTTTTCCATTAGTCTAGCAACTCCTTGTCATGTTCCTACTTGGTGTGATGTTCTGGATGATCTTCCCTTGATATACATGTGCTCTCCACTAGTCTAGTCTCTCATTGTCAAGTTCATGTTCCGGATCTTTGCTTTGTTGATCTCTACTCATTGTGCATGTGCTTTCCAATAGTCTAGCCTCTAGTCGTCAAGTTCATGTTCCGGATCTCTACTTTGTTGATCTCTTCTTCTAGTACATGTGTTTTCCACTAGTTTATTGTCAAGTTCATAATCCGGATCTTTTACCTTGTTGATCTCTTGTCCTTTGTGCGTGTGCTTCCACTAGTCTAGTCTCTCATTGTCAAGTTCATGTTCCGGATCTCTACTTTGTTGATCTCGTCTTCTTGTACATGTGCTTTCCACTAGTCTAGTCTCTAATTGTCAAGGTCATGTTCCGGATCTTTACCTTGTTGATCTCTACTCATTGTGCATGTGCTTCCACTAGTCTAGTCTCCCATTGTCAAGTTCATGTTCCGGATCTTTGCTTAGTTAGTCTTTTATCCTTGTGCATGTACTTTCCACTAGTCTAGTCTCTCATTGTCAAGTTTATGTTTGATGTGGTGTTCCGGCTCCTCACCTTGTTGATCACTTCTCCTTGTGCATGTGCTTCCACTAGTCTAGCGTCTCTTTGTCAAAGTTCATGTTCCGGATCTTTACTTAGTTAGTCTCTTCTCTTTGTGCATGTGTTTTCTGCTAGTCTAGTCTCTCATTGTCAATTTCATGTTTGATGAGATGTTCCGGACCTTTTTTTTAGTTGGTCTCCTCTCTTTGTGTATGTACTTCCATTAGTCTAGCCACTCTTTGTCAAGACCATAATCCGGATCTCTACTTAGTTAGTCTATCCTCTTTGTGCATGTGCTTCCACTAGTCTAGTCCCTCATTGTCAATTTCATGTTTGATGAGATGTTCCGGACCTTTTCTTAGTTGGTCTCTTTTCTTTGTGCATATACTTTCATCAGTCTAGCCACTCCTTGTCAAGACCATGATCCGGATCTCTACTTAGTTAGTCTCTCCTCTTTGTGCATGTGGTTCCACTAGTTTAGTCCCTCATTGTCAATTTCATATTTGATGTGATGTTCCGGATCTTGTTTAGATGATCTCCTTCCCTATAAGTATGTGTTCTCCATTTGTCTAGCTTCTCATTGTCATGTTATTCCAAAATATACTTATTCAATCTCTCACTATGGGACGAGTGATCGACGTTTGGTTGCTGTTACGGGAAGCAGAATTGATTAGGAGTTCTTCTTATCTTCTCTCTCTCTCTCTCTCTCTCTCTCTCTCTCTCTTGTTCTCCATTTGTCTAGCTTATCATTGTCATGTTATTCCAAAATATACTTATTCAATCTCTCACTATGGGACGGGTGATCGACGTTTGGTTGCTGTTACGGGGAATTGAATTGATTACGAGTTCTTCTTGTCTTCTCTCTCTCTCTCTCTCTCTCTCTCTCTTTCTCTCTCTCTCTCTCTCTTTCTCTCTCTTTCTCTCTCCTAAGCTCCCGCTCCCTCTCTCCTTCACCCTCTCCCCCCTTTTCCCTCCTTCCTCCTCTAGACCCCTCTTTCGCCCCCCCTTTATTACCTTGCCTTCTCTCTCTCTCTCTCTCTCTCTCTTTCTCTCTCTCTCCTTCCCTCACTTGGCATATGACTTACCCTTCTCCCCTCACTTGGAAACATTGCCAGGGTACGGACGGTGACCAAAATCATACCTCACTTGGTGGAGAAAGAGGACAAGGGGAGGATAGCCGGTCCATTGTGCCACCAAGAAGGCAAAAGAAAGGACGTTTGAAAAAGTGGGAGAAAGGCGGAATTTGGAAGGAAGCATAAGTTGAGAGAGAGGTCAGTTTGACTCAACCATTTCCCCGACTGCATGACTATGAGAAGAGAATGGGCTGATTGAGCAACAAGAGGGAAGAAAGAGCAACCAAGGAATTTGAAAAGATAAGCATATAGGAAGAGCTTTGTGTTGACCCCCAACGGGGGACATTGTATGGATCTTTGCTTTGTGTGGGATTGTGCAGGTAAGTGAAGGCTAAGAATGCCTTGAGCGAGATAGGGGCGAGAGGAATTGGGCATCAAGAGGAAAAGGAAAAGGGGATGAAGGGGCTATGGGGCCCTTGACATAGAGCCAACCCATGAGAATGACTTTTTGCGCTTGAGACTTGGAAGTGTGATTGAGAGTGCAATCTTACCAAGGAAATTGTGACGTTATGCGTGCATGCATATGAGGACCCCGAAAAGACTAAGGGGCCCACTGCAACAAGGAAAACAGCAAATTGAGAGACCCAATGGATGTGTAGAGGCGAGAGGGAGGATGGCTCCGCCCCACCCCAATGACGCCATATAGCCACATTGCTTAGGGGAATGGTGTGTGGCCTAAGGATGACGCTTAGCCTACGCACAAGAGAAGAGAAACGTTCAAAGAATCCTTGGACTGCCTACGTATTGGAAGGAGCAATTGCATGAGAAGACAACAAAGAAGCAAATAAAGTCAGCGTTTCGGAACAACCAGCGAGACTACCACCTAGCGTGAGGGTTGAGCTACATCCCCAATGTCAAAGCTCTTCGCGCGATGGCACAATCCCATCCATCTCAAAGCACTAGGTGGGGGTGACCTCGGGACGAACAGCCCGCGCCCCGAGCATGAGCGTGGGCGGACCGAGCCAATTGGGACTCGCAGTGGGGTCGACTAAGGCTCGAAAGTCTACCGGGGTTTGGCCCTACACCGTGTTTTTTGCCTGCGTTGTATTTTGTCTGCGACATGACGCTCTTTGGTGGTTCATTTGTTTTCCGTTGTCGTCCGCAGACAAGATGTCTTCGTCGAGGGGCGAGGGGGAGCCTGCAGCGACCTCCGGGATGGGATTAGGAAAAAATTTCACAAAACGTTCGTCTACGACCTCGAGGTCGTGGTCGGACCACGCAAGGTCGAAATGGTTCGTCGACAGGTGTTGTGGTGATGCTTCGAACCCACTTCAACAGCCATGTGGTCCTGTAATCTTCGCCGAAGCCAACAAGCGCCGCAGGGTTCTGGGGGTTGTCTTGCGGTGGGTGAATGTGAAAGGCAGTCGTCAGCGGTCTTGCATGAAAAATGTGTACGGTTCCAAGGGGAACGTCGTCGTCGGTGCCAAGGGGGCTGTTCTCGACATGTGTCTGTTCGAGGGGTTTGGAGCGGGTGCTGCGAACACCCCGTTCTACAACGACCTCCGGCGGTAGGGCAGGTTTGTTTTGGGTCGAGAGTTCTTCGACTTGTTGGAGGACAAGGACATCTTCCTCGACATCCCTTGCAAAAATGGCCCCGACCTGGAACTGTCAACGTCTTTGCAGCTGTGCGGCGGTTGTGAGTCGAGCGGGGCAGCGGGGGAGGGGGGGATCTGGGTTCCGGCGAGGCTACACATGTGCAGCGGGAGGATGCCAGAGGTCAGTTTAACGACAGCGAAGATGAGGCGACACCGCGTCCGCCGTTTTCGGCGTCGAGGGAAAGAGACCGGTTCGTGTTGTCCATACCTGGGGTCTGACAAGAGGTCGCAGCGGATCCCGGAGAAGAGGCAGTCCATAGGGGTCCGACTTGGAGCCCGGCAAGGGCCATGGCACGAACAACAAGGCCGTGGGTGGTGAGGGAGCGCAGGGGATTCCCCCGAAAAGGAGGGGAGATTGTCAAGAGGACGTGGTAGGCTCTTCGAAGAAACAGAAGACGAGGACCCCAAAGACTACGGGAGAGAAACGGAAGGGAAGGGGGGTGGAAGAGGACCACCCGGGTAGCAAATGTCCGGCTTCAAAACTGAAACAGCCTGCGTTAGGACCTTCCACGACAAGGTCTGCCATCGATGTGGACGCCGAGTACTTCCCGGAGTACAAAGACGGCGTCAGGACAAGGCGGGAGTTTGGGATTAGCCCGACTCAGATCGTCGACCTCGGGGAGTGGGAGGATCTTTACAACCAGCGATCGCTGGATCCTGTCCTCGTGGGAACGATAAAAGAAGCAATGCAGTATGTGTTTGAAAATAAAGAGCAGACGTACGAGTTGCCGATCTTCAAGCTCACACCACTGGGGCTTCAAAAACCAACTCCCGGGACCAAGGCTCTACGTCTGAAGCCAGAGGAGTGGAGGGACGAGCTGACGGGAGAATACTACTACTACGAGGTGTGCGGGCAGCATAACGCGGCTGCAACCCGGCCGCTGCTCGGGAGCGAGGTGGCCAAGAAGTACAATTTCGAGCGGTGGCCGACGCGAATGCTTTACTTTTCGGACGACGACTTCGAAGGGTATTTTCCTGTTAGTTCACGAGACAACAAGAAGGACCTGAAGGCGCCTCCCAGACAGTTGAAGCTGTCTATGAAAGACATTTGGTGGCAGTGGAAGCATAACGGCTGTCCGAGAGCTGTGATGGGGAACCCTAGCGTGAAACAAGATCAGGTCCGGGCTTGGCGTAAGTTTTGTACAACGACGCTCCATAAGGCACCTCACAACAACTTGTGGATTCTCGCGGATCAAAAGGAAGAGGAGGCCCTTAAGAAGCAAAATGTTGCCCTGCGTTCTTATTTCCCTCTCGCGATGGCCGTAGAAAATGTCTGGAAACTGGCCGTGGAATTTTTCGAAAAATGAGAGACGGGTAGATTGCTGAGCCACGACGGAGCGAAGTGGATCGTGAAAAAGAAGAAGGTCAAAAACGTCAAGCCTGGGGTTGCCTACATCCATAACGATAAGTTGGGCAGAACTGAGGTGGTGTACAACGTCCCCGTGGACCCACCGAATAAGAAAGGCAAAAAGGAGAAAGAGGAGGGCGATTGGTTCGTGCAAGTGCCCGACCCGGACGCACATTGTTGGAAAGCAATGGAATCACTCACGGACAATGAGAAGTGTGCTTGCGAGGTCGTTTGGGTCCAGGCCGGCTCCCCGTCGTTGGCGAAATTGGGGAAGCTCAACGTGCAGGACATGGTGCAGCTGGTGAAGTGCGACCACATGCTGGTCCGGTTGTGGAATTACTACCAATTCAAACACGAGAAGAGGCCGGACGCGGATTGGATCCAAAGGTACCATTTTCTGAAATCGAGGTCTGCAGTTTTCAGGAAGTTTGAAAGTCAGGGATTGGATGACGAGTTGTGGGATAACAACAGGAAACACGTTTCCGACTCGGCGTTGTTCAAGGACTGCCCGCCGTACATGGGTTGCGACCAGGACAACTCGATTGAGGTGACAGAGAAGTTGGCGGGGCACAAGAAGTTGTCCGTCGACTGGAGAAACAAGGTTCTCTCCGTGTAGAATGGGAGCAGACTGAAGAGCCGGGAGGTCGCTCTTGTCGAAGACGTTGTTCATATTAAATGGAAAGACACGGGGGACGTGACATCCATCGTGCCGTTCGCTAAGGACCCTTTAGAGGCGGACATGAGGGGCGCAGAGCTAAAGGAAGCAGTGACTGCCACAAAGAGTCAGACGTTCGTCCTCTATCTGTGCGAGCCGGTTGACCTCAAACTGTGGAAGGCCCAAGCGTGAGAGACATTGGATTCCTATCTTCAGACGTGGTGTCCGTCGCATTGGACTCTCGTTGTTTTCGTGCCGCGGCAGCACAACTTCACGTTTCTCACCAGCATGCACCATCTTTCTTTTGTCAAGCTGTTGGAAGGGAAATGGGTGAGGAGAGTTCAGCAAAAGAAAAGCTTCCCCGTTGGGAACAATTTGTACACGGAGCAAGACTGCATGTACATCCTCTTCAAGGGTGACGATCTGCGCGCCAACACGTCCGTGGTCTACGAGGGAAACCTGCCCAGGGGTGTCGCTGCTGTGGTGCGATTGCCTCAGAGGGTCACCCATACGGATGTGTCCGAGATTCCTTTTGTGCCTTGCGATTGGTCGCTGGTGGCGCCGGAACGACAGGGCAGTGTCTACGAGGATATGGAACGCAATCCGACACAATTCGTCGGTCTTCTTGATTTCCTTGGCAAGAAGGGAGAGGGTGTCGTGTTCCTTGGGAAACCGCACGCACGAAGCGTCTGGGATCTTCTGAAGGCCAGCCGGCACGTTGTCGCGATGGAAGGGAACGCCGAGCTCTTGCAATTCACGATGCAGGTGGTGAAAAAGCGAGGTCAATTCGGGCGGGCACAATTGTGAGTTCATGGTTGTAAGGCCAACACGGGATAAGGTGTGGAGCAACAAGACGGATATGTGGTTCAAGTTGAGCGAGAGGAAAAATAACAAGATATACGATTTCTTGTTCCTTCAAACGCGGCCAAGGAAGGAATCTGACGCCGAGTACGTCCGCCGGAAGGACCACATGTTCGCACTGCTCGACAACTACCACTTCGCCTCCCGCATGAACGCGAAGACGTTTCTCGATAGGCTGCAGTCGCTGTACTTCGTGGAGTCCGAGGAGCAGTTGAAGTTAGCCAGTTACGCTTCCCTGATCTCCACTGATGACGAGGAAGCCACATGTGTCGAGTTTATCGCCAACGCGAAGGAGGAGGAGAGCGACACAGAGAGCATTGATCTGCAGTACAACCCACCTCCGGTGGACCACGGCAGAGGGTCGTCGTCGGCTTGTCTGTCACCGAGCGCTGCAGCCCTCGTGTCACCGTCGGTCAAACCACTGCCGGGCACCACGCCGATGAAATTGATGGAGAGACTCAAAGCTCTGGCCGTCCCCCCGCCCGCCTTGCGTCCCGGGTCCGACATCCCGCCCGATCATCCATCTTGGCAGGATGACCACATCCACTTCCTGCTTGAGCCACAACGTCATTCGCCTGAGCTGGAATGGGGCCATGGCATGGTGTGGCATCCGGGAGTCATCCAGCCTGCGATACGAAAGGGCGAGTGGGTCATGGCCGTCGCAATCCCGGGCTTGGGATGGGCGTCATTCCCGCGCGAGTCGAAGTCCAACTTCTTGCACCTCGCTAGGATTTCGGTCAGAAAGTGACGGCCGAGAATGACACCTTTGCACTCGGCAACCTGTCCCTCATTTCCACAGTCGGTCGACTGTTCGACGAGCTTCAGCACAAGTGCTGGTTGGAATTGACGGAGGACTACTACGACCTCGACACAAGTCCGTCGAAGGGCATGGTGGACTGGAAAGTGCCCCCTCCCTGTCGCCCGGACGGTAGTTCCGGGGGTGCCACTTGGAAATGGAGGGGATGGGGGTGGTGGCGCGGGGGGTGGCAAAGCAATCCCGACTAGTGGGGAGAGGGGGTCTCACGGCCGCAACACGACACCGAGAGGCAGCGGCGGGGTGGTGGGTTTCGCCGTCGACTGGCCTTCGTCGACAGGCACCTGGCCGGATCATATGACACAGTCCGCCGACCTCCCGACTTCGTCTGTGGGCTCAACGAGGGACACGTTGGCAGCTTTGCTTGCTCTGGGCAGTCGCTCCGGCGGAAACTTGAAGTCTGCCGGGATCCGAACTACGTCCGCTGAGGAGCCCCTAGAGCGGTCCGGAATGCAAAGCCGCTCGGGGTCGGGGGAGCCAAGCAAGGATTCCGAAATTGGCAGCATTGCGGCGCGGGACGAAAACGTGGGAAAGGTGTCGCCTGAGGAGGAGCGACAGCCGCAAGGATTGCAGCGAGAGGCTGCAGGTACAGGGTCCGGCAACACGGAGACGACGAAGTCCGCCGAGATCCGAACTTCTTCGGGCGGGGGGTGTCGGCCAGGGATTGTCGTGCCGTTGAGAGGGGCAGCGTGCACGGAGACGGAAGGGCGGTCCTTGGGATTCAGCACGGGTACCGCGGAAGGGGATGAGTTTCGTGGAAGGGAAGTAGGGGAGAAAATGGAGGAACGGAGCCAGGCCCTATGAGCGGCGGGCACCATGGGTCGGCAGTCGTGAGTTTGGTCCGTAGGCGAAGGAGTGGCCATGGGGTATTTTGGTAGGCCCGCGTGCCGTGCGACAACAATTTATATTGAATTTTGCAGTAGTTCATCTCAGCCTTGGGCACTAGCACTATTGGTAACGACATTGGACTTTCGAAGTGGAGGTATAAGGATCGAGGAAGGCGACCGGCGGCGGTGGAACATCGGAGCGGCTGAAGATGCCGAGGGGCTGAGGGTCTGGCGGGGCTATCCCCCTTGGTTTTGTTGCCGGACCGTGGGCCCGGTCAACGAAGCTAAAAGTGGCATTGACAGTCTCCCTTCCCTAAAGCGCGAGTTCCAGATGCGGGTGTTTTATCCGTACTTCTATTTTATTTTTCTCTAGCTACCGGTCTCGTTTTCTGGATGCGGTGACAATGCTGGTATTGGAGTTGTTTGCGGAGACCAGCGGGCGTAGCTCAATTGATACGCCCACGAACTGTTGAAACCGCGGGCTGAGGAGTTCAACGAACATGTGAGCCTGTTGGGTTAGCCCACGAGGCGGAAGAAGCCTGAGTGGCGGGGACCCTCCGCGGGTGCACCATCCGCCAACCACGGTCTTCTGTGTGAAGTTTGGGTGTGAGCGTGCCCGGTTGGGACCCGCAGATGGTGAACCGTGCCTAGGCGCAACAGGACGGGGGACTGGGGCAGTGACCGCTGCAGAAACACTAATTGTGCACAACCGTTCACATGGAACCCTTTGCCACATCGGTCTTCAAAGTTCCTATCCGAGTTTTGCTACTACCACCAAGATATGCAGTGGGACCTGCTTCACCTGGGATCACGCTGCAAGGGTTGCGGGCCCCGCGCCCTTCTACTCTTCACGACAGCCGAACATAGACCGCACACCTGGCATCGTGGGACCAGCAAAGTACCAATCCGTCATTGCTGTAGGCACGTAGGGCCCTTTGCCATCTGAAAAGGGTACATCAGTGTGACCCGAACCATGCCCAAGACCTCAAATTGGTCCGTCCCAAATCTGCATATTTTTGCAGATTTGCATATTTTTGCAGATTTGGGATTGCAGTTGTGACCATGCCCGGTTGGGACTCAAAGGAAGGAGAAAACTGTGCTTGGGCATAGAGGGGAAGGGCGGTGGCTGCAGCAGCACTGACTGTGCTCAGCTGCCCATTTGGAACCCCGCTCCCTTTCTGCTATTTTATTATTATTATTATTACTATTATTATTATTATTATTGTTATTATTATTATTATTATTATTATTATTATTATTATTATTATTTTACCCTTTGGTTCCAGTTGGGACACGGCCCAGGCACTGGTTCCGGGACTGGCAAAAGTACCCAAGAGCCTAGCTTGGTGGATACACCCATGAACTGTTAAAATACAGATCTGAGTTCGAAGTCCACTCGCAGCAGAGTGGAATATTGCAAATTTTAATTATCTGGAACCAGGCAGTTTAATGATGATATCCCAAGGCCGTTGTCACGGCACAGAGAAGACTAGCATGGCCCCTGCCCAAGCACGACAAGTATAAGTTCAGCGGCGGGCCTTGGTTAGCAGTTCGTGGTAGCCCGAACTGCTATCAGGCCGTGAGCGACGGGGGTGTGTTATATTCAACGAGAGAGGAGACGACAGGGAGGTTAGCTATGGAAGAGGAGATTGCCATTCTCCGTCCGTTTCTCGGTGAAAACGAGGGAGGGGAGGATGTAGATAGGGGTTTTCAGGGTGGGCGAACCCGAATCTGCAGTCAGATGGGAAGGAGAGTCAGTAGATAAGGAGATAAAAGAAAAAGTACGTGCGCGGAGGTGTCTGGAGAGTGAGGTATGGTGTGGGAAGTAATTCATATCTGGCCCGTTTCTTAGTGAAAACGGGCGAACAAAGATTCGTCTTCCGGGTTTGGAGGTATGGCGAATCTGATGGCAGCATCAGATTCTGCATTCCAGCAATAGGCTGGCCAGGTTCAGTGGTAGGGGTTGCGCAGTGCAGAATGGGCCAAGCGCCGAGCAACAGCAACTGTGGAAGTAACGATGAATCTTCCCAGTTTCTGGCGGAAGATTCATTTTCATTTTTGCATTGCTCTCTATGTGTCTGTTGGAATGGGCATGACAACGAGGTAGGTGAGTGGGCGTCCGAAAGAGAGAGAAAGGAAAGAGATTGCTTACCATTATAAGATGGCGAGGCGAGGTGATCCGAAAGTCGAGCTACGGCTCAGTACCCGCCAATGTCGCCATGCTCCTCATCATAGTGTTGATTATCGCGTCGCCACGTCATCACCATGGTGTGATCCTCGTCATCAGGTGCTTCACTGTTGGTCGCGTTCCTCATCTCAGTCGTAGTTTTTTTGTTCATCGTGGTAGTGCCCCTGATTCTCAACAGTTGTCCTCCACGTGCGGACGCTGGGGGAGAGCGCTTGAATCTGGCCGAGGTGTCAGCCAGATACATTTAGACGGTGTGTTGGTAACCAACGAAGGAGTAAGGAAGCGAGACGAGATCGCGGGAGAAGCGTAGTACTAAGATGAAGAGGAGAGATAGAGTATAATTACCTGGCCGCTAACAAAAGAATGTATCTTCCATGTTTTAGTGGAAGATTCATTCTCGTTTCGCTGAGTACCGTCGCAGTAGCAGGCAACAAAACGAGTATGTGCAGGAAGCAGCGGGCGAGGGGGCGCAGGAGCAACAAACGTGTGCAAGAGAGAGAGAGAGAGAGAGAGAGAGAGAGAGAGAGAGAGAGAGAGAGAGAGAAAGGGTGAAAGAGAGAGAGAAGGAACGTACCTGGCGTGAGAAGTTGGCTCAGTTGATGTATCTTCCCATGTTCTAGGGAAGATCCATCGTTGTCACTTACTCCAACTATCCAAGCAGCACTACGGAATAGGGAGGCACGTATGGTGATATATCTTCCTATGTTCCCGTGGAAGGCCCCTTCACGTCTTTGGACACTGGCGGGCTGCTCAGTTGGTCCATGCGGTTGCTCTCCCGAGTGGACTTAGAGGAGAGTAGACGAATCTGGCCGAGAGGATGACCAGATGCGCCGGTTGACGGATGGTAGTGAACAAGTACGAGTTAGAAAAGGAAAAAAAAAAGGAGATACTCACCTGGCTGATGTGCTTGTCTTTGCTCAAGTTCTTCTGAACGGCATCGCGATGTACTTCCTCTCGATTTAGGGGAAGGTTCGTTCAGAATCTATACAGTCGTAGTCAGGCACCGACACTGTAGCAGACGGGTAGTTGGCAATATATCTTGCCGATCTTGAGCAGGGGATTCAATCTCGTTCGCCGATTGAGAGACGATGGGCGAAGACCTCGTATGCATCTACCCTTRTGGTAGGAAAGATCAATTCCCATCCGCTAGTGTTGAGGCGGGCGCAATAGTGGGAGTAACATGTGATAGCAGGGAGTGACATGTATTCTTCCGTGTTCTAGCAGAGGATTCGTYAGAATGATGGAGAGCTGCAATCGTGAATTTTTTTGCTTGTCGTCTTACTTACTTCAGCAGACCACTGTATCTGGTCGTCGTTTGGTGGAGGAGGTTTTTGGTCTCCCCGACAACGAACACAGCAACAACAGGAGCAACTAATGCGCTTGGCTGTGTCCTAGCGGAAGAATCAATCTCAGTCTGCACATTTGATGAGAAGGGGGGTCATTGTCCGTTRGGGCTTCTTGTCTCCTCACTGGTGATTACTATTTACTCCTGGAAACTGAAGATCAGCACGGCTGCGATCGTCTGTGTGATTCCCGCTGTCAACCTCATGCGAGCACCATTTCGTTGTTCCCGATCACGGTTGTCCTTAACCATGGTCAGGATTGTGGTCTTCATGGAGCGTTTGTTTGAACCTGGCCATCGTTTCGGCTAAGAGAGAGGGAGCCTGTGAGAAGAAGGCAGGTGGAATGCAATAAGAAGGAGAAGAGGAGGCGAAGGAGCACGTACAAGAGAGGGGGGAGACTCACCTGCTTGGCATGACTTCAACATCAGGCAACTACTGTGTATTATGACCACGAAACAACTGTTTCTTTCGGTATCAGAGTTGCGTTGTTGTCTTCTCAGCGGAGACACTATTGCTGAGTTGGTTTGTGGAATTCGCCAGACCACAACTTTTTGTCAAGCCGCTGTTTATTGAGTTTTTGATCATTGAGTTGCTACTGGTATGACCGTGTGGATTGTCGTTCGCTGCACACTACTGTGCTTCACTATACATACCATGTATTGCTGCGTTTTGCCCCTATTCGAGTAAAGCACGGGGGGCTGCGTCGCGACCATTTGCTCGGAGAACAATTACTATAGCGTCAAAGGGAGGTTACTGCTGCAACCTGAAGGACTGTCAGAGAGTGGTTACTCTACATTTCGGCCGAGACCCAGGAGCCGAAGATTACAAAGCCCTCTCCTGTGATTCTGAGTGCACCCCTCTTGCATCTGAGAGTCTTAGCAAATTCTTTCGCTGCCTTTCTTACTCTCAGTTCTGAGAGGAAGGCGGCAGGCGGTATTGTAACCCGTAGGACCGCAGCAAGACCTTGTGGGATCGATTTAGGGGAAGGTTCGTTTTGAATCTATACAATCGTAGTCAGGCAGCGACATTGTAGTAGACGGGAAGCTGGCAATATATCTTGTCGATCTTGAGCAGGGGATTCAATCTCGTTCGTGGATTGAGAGACGATGGGCGAAGACCTCGTATGCATCTACCCGTGTGGTAGGAAAGATCAATTCCCATCCGCTAGTGTTGAGGCGGGCGCAACAGTGGGAGTAACATGTGATAGAAGGGAGTGGCATGTATTCTTTCGTGTTCTAGCAGAGGATTCGTCAGCATGATGGAGAGCTGCAATGGTGAACTTTTTTGCTTGCCGTCATACTTACTTCAGCACACCACTGTATCTGGTCGTCGTTTGGTGGAGGAGGTTTTTGGCCTTGCCCGACAGCGAACACAGCAACAGCAGGAGCGACTGATGCGCTTGGCTGTGTCCTAGCGGAAGAATCAGTCTCAGTCTGCACATTTGATGAGAAGGGGGGTCATTGTCCACTGGGGCTTCTAGTCTCCTCACTGGTGATTACTATTTACTCCTGGAAACTGAAGATCAGCACGGCTGCGATCGTCTGT